TATGTTTTTACAAGAACCGTATTTTCATTCATAAAAGTCTTAACTATTTTTTGAGACTAGCTTGAAAACATAAGCTTACTAGATTTTGAAAATTCAATTTTACCAGTTTTCATCTTGTTAACAACAAAAGTTTTTGAAAAACTAATAAGTTTACATTCATTTATACTTGACAAGAACAGCTGTGGCAAAATAGAAAATAACGCAAAAGGCAATACAAATACAAAATATAATTTACTTTGTCTGTAATTTGGCATTTGAAAATGTTTTTTGATATTTTCTTAGCTTTTGAAAGTGAAAGACAAGGTACCGCTCTTTATACAATGTTATAAAATAACTGTTATGAATGTCACRTTCTGATTGGTTTGGAGCGCGTGCTTTATGAGAGCAAATTGCACGCGCGCGCACTTTCCGTTGTGTCATTCCTATCTATTATTGTAATTTTTATTTTATAAAAGAAATGAAAAACTTACTTGCTGTGCTGTGTGCAGTCATAAAGCACTTGGGGGTTGGCAGAACACTCGAGAAGTGTCCAGAAGCACTCCGTTACGCGTTGTGCTTCTCCTAACACTTCTCTCGTGTTCTGCCAACCCCCGCGTGCTTTATGACAGCACACAGCAGGCGCGCGCGTTTTCTATTTCTTCAACATATCTCACAACAACAAAAATTTAAGCTCATTTTTATAATCATGTACTAGGTCGAAAAGCTCATTCAATATTTAGATAAATTATCTGTAGAAAGATATAAAATCCTTGAATGAATTTCAAAATGAAAGTACTCTTACCATAATTATAAAACAGGTACACTTTTTTCGCACGTTTGTCATTCTAGTTCGTTGCTTGTTTGCCGGTAATTTTAGAAATGTTATTTAGTTTTAAACTTTGTCTAAAATCTCTTGGATTTGTTTGATTGTGGAATTCAAAAAGTGCTTTTTCAAATGATTATTTTATATCATATATGAACTACGAATACTCTTACCATAAGAACAAAAAAAGTACTTTTTTCGCTCGTTCGTCATGCTAGTTTGCTCGTTTTCCAGTAATGTTGTAGCTATGTTATCTACAGTAAATAAAACAAAATAGAAAATGTCCTAACCTCTATCTTCACACTGTGGCGAATCCTTTTTTTCCCATGATTTCTTCAATAAATTTTTGTTTCGTTTTTACAATATTTACAAAAAAATGATAGTTAAAAAGCTCGTTAAAAAAAGTCGTCATTTTCCTAGTGACGTGTGATTTGGAATCTCGACCAATCAGAAACGCGATGTACACCTGGCGGGCGACACTTTTAGCGTTACGCACAGGGTTCCCATGCGATGACCACGAAAACTGAGTTGCATAGTTTACCATATTCTATACCTACGGTGCTCCGCTAATGAGACTCTCTCATAAGCGACCACTCTCGTAAGCGACCGCGACCACCTTCTGGGTTAAAATCTTGAAGTGAAATAACCTAAAAGTGAGTACAAAGCCATATATTTCAGTCGTAAGATAATTTGCTAATAAAATAAAAGGCGCTAAAGAAGCGCATGTGATTAGTCCAAAGAAGTAAAATGAACGGTGTGAGGACAGGAGATATCATACTAAAGTCTTCCAAAGACATCAATAACTCATGATTTCGACCATGTGATCAGAACGGACCAAGGAAATRAACTTGTATATAAAATCCAGAAAGGGTATTTCCCATGAACTTTTAAAAATTGGTCAAAAGTGAAACGTAAATCCTCAGTGTACATACATGGGAAATTTCAGTTTTCATAACTTTCAATTTTTGTACAATTTCGATTATTTTATTTAATTTTTTTGGTTTTATTAGTGTTGGAGGTTTTTAATGCCATATAAAAAATTCGAACCATGTGTTTTATTAAAAACGTTTACATTTGAATAAACACTGCTGCTCGTTGAACGACTGTTTTCATTAATCTTTATTGTTCAGTTTCAAATCTGCTGTATATATAGCAAGAACCTATTTATCACATGATTGCAAAGAAATAGAAATAGTTTTAAGACAATGTTGCCTTGTAGTATCGATCACAAACTCATATTAGATTATTGCAAAGATATGGTTTTTCGATTGTTCTAAGAATGAATTTGAAAATCCCATTAGGCAAAGGCTGAATTATCTTAAAATTCATCGGAAGAGATTCAAGGTCTGATTTAATTCACAACCGACRATRCGTTTTTTGTTTGTTKGTTTGTTTRTATTAADTTCCCCGAAGGGCTGAATATATCCTGTAAAGTACGGCCTCATTTATCCTCCAATTAGGAKGCTCAATATAGTTTTCAATATCGTTTTCAATATATATATATATATTTTTTATTATAGTTTTCAGTATATGAGTAATGAGTTTGTTTTGTATGTACCGTGGCCGAGGGAAGACATCGTAAGTCGTTAGTCGAAACTCGCAACTGAAGTGATCGATAACCGACTTACGAGTTACAACTTGCCAAGTAAGAACTCGCGACTTACCACTTAGGACTTAGCACCTAGCAATTTCAACTTGYGACTTACGACTTAGCACAAAGACCTCTTCTCCCCTCCCCAAAAGTTTTCGAATTTCTACATGTCTTTTGATGTAAAACCATTGTTTACCAGTATTCCACTTCAATTGGCATTAGATTGCACTAAGATTGCCATCACAAGAAACGCCGACGACCTACCGTTACACATGCATACCGACTACAGACATCATGGACTTACTCAAACTTTGCCTCACATCGACTTACTTTCAGTACGACGGTAAATACTACAAACAACTACACGGCACAGCTATGGGCTCTCCGGTATCTGTCGTTATGCAAAGTATCGAGCAGCATGCCCTTGCTACCTATGGACAAAACCTGCCTTTTTGGTTCCGCTTCGTTGACACACCATAACTACACTACATACTGACGACATCGAAGCTTTTCATAATAACCTAAACAAACAAAACACACACATACAGTTCACCAGAGAGATCGAAGAAAACGGTGTTATACCGTGTACAATCTTGTACACACTACTGTTTACCGCAAACC